GTATATATATATATATATATATATATATATTTTTTTTTTTTAAATATTTTTTTTATATATATAATTTATGTTTTAAAATTTAAATTTTTTTTAATAGTAAAAATTACTTTAAAAATAACAAATGAAATGAAAATACATATTACATTTTAAATATAAATTTAAAATATTAAAAAAATTACATAAACTTAAATTGCAGAGTTTTCAATTCAATAACATATGCTGCATAGCGATTTTAGAACTCCATTAGCAAATCTATTTATTAGATGACACTTTTTTTGCAAGCTTCTCTGTCAAACTCATCACTTGTAATCTCTGGGTCTGGTGGTGCTCAGCGGTTGCCAAGGCGATGCCTCAGTTCCATCAGATGATGCGTGATCGTCTGCGTACAGCGGATCAGGGAGCCGATACGGTCGTCTGGCTCACCGTGTCACGCGCCACCACTGCGTTTCCCAGCGGCCTTTTCTTCCAAGGTGTGCATGTTGGCTAGAAATGGTGACATTTGATGTCATGTGTCTAGATTTTTCCAATAGCACTCTTACAGGTTGTTTGTTTCAGATCGACAGCCGGTTTCAGCCCACTTGCCCCTGGCATGGACACACAGCTCTCGACGGGAAGTCAAAGTGTTCATGGCCCGGTTGGACACTTTGGCGATGGCTGTCAAACCCTCAGAGTGAGATATTACACATAGAACGTGTTAGGTATTACATGTCAGATAACTGAGAGCTTTTACAGTATGTAGTACTAAAATAACACTCATGTTATATGTAATAAAGAATGATATGAATATGAATCTGTAACAACTACTGTAATTGCAAAATAATCATACAGAAACTAAAAGTAGTCTTAAACAACATGAAACATGATGTATTTCTGAGTGAAATAGGACATTTAACAAGAAACAAAAGTAGGCCGAGTTGTGATTTTATCCATTGCCAATGGACTGTAAAAAAAAATTGTTTCCATACAGTTGAGTTTGTAGTCAATTGTAAAAACTGCTATCTCCCTGAATCAAAGCGGCTTTGATTGTCGTTAGCCATAAAGGAAAGTCATTTCAGAGGTAGAAGTAGTTATAACATTCTATTTGATCAAAGATTCTGAAAACAAACCTTTTTGTCTTTAGAATAACACGCATTAATGAATTATGCACAATAAAAACCAGAAACATTTCAAAATAAATGGGCTCTGTTTTGATTTTATGCTGGTTTTTGTTTCCTTTTATGTTTAGATGTACGTCTGGCCACAACATGCCAATTAACCCTGTAAAGTCTCACATATGAAATCATTTTTTATGGAACAATTTATTGCAAAAAAAAAAAAAAAAGTTTGCATGTGTTTTTGTCCAGTATCATATTTGATAAATCAGTTTTTTTGCTCATATAATACGATATAGGAGAATATTCAAAGGTTTTACTCAAACTGAGCAAAAATATGCAATTTTGTGCAGTTTCTGATTTTTGACCAAAACTAATTTTATAATACATTTTCTTAGTTTGTAATGTAAATCAATGAGATCATCATCTCCATAAGAGTACAACAGACTCCTTGCGTAAAATGCATATAAATATCAGTTGTCTCTCTATATCTCCAAATAATACATCTTAGTGAGATGATATTTAAATGCTTAGTTTTATTATCAAAGCTCTGTAGCTTTGATCGAATGCAATGCAATGAAGATTGAGAGATGAACAAATAAAGCTCCTCAAAAACCTGATGTATCTATTTGATACTCGCACTTTAACATTTTTTTTTTTTTTTAATTATCTATGGATGATCAAGTAAATCAAAGTTGATTCAGTCAAGTAAATGCTCATCTTGAAACATTACTTACAATATGAAAGCTATTCTTATGTATACTTAATAAAAACTAATTAAGGATTTCAAATAAATACCATGACCTGAAGATGGCGGTTTTTTCAAATTAAACTAAAAGGCCTTTTACTACTAAAAAAGCATCAACTCAATATCGTCTGATCAATCAGCTGACGGAAGGCATGTAGTAGGCTAGATCAGTGTTTCCCAACCGGGGTGCCGTCTGTCGAGAGCAGGGGTGCCGTGTAAAAAATCCTTTTTTAATATTTTTAAATTGCTAAAATTTTCAAAAAAGCATCCATTATATAATATCCATTTCTGATGTAAATTTTATTTCTGGAAATGTATTGGGTTTTTTTTCTCTTTAAAACAGGGTCAAGGGAGACCAAGGAGTGGAGTCTTTAACAGGTATATTAGGACCAGTTGAATTCAGAAGGTGTTTGAGTGACCTCAACCCATCCAAACTCAAAAGTGATTAAAATTCTTGAAAAATAGCTCTGAAATCTTCACAGGCATCATAAGAAGCTGCTATGTCACCCATCTAGATCTGGCTCTTCGATGTCCTAATGATTTAGCAGTTAAATACATAGTTAAAAATTGTGTGCAACAAGCTCTTCAGTACGTTTTGATCGTGTTGATCATTACAAATTTGCATATTTGATAAAGTAGGTTTTATAGGGTTAAAACTTAAACATAAATGTTGCTCATAATGTATGGAACCTGCGTCATTTCCTAGTTCCATTCCTGCTCCTCTCTCAAAATGCTCATAAATAATAAAACAAAAACAATTAGGCTTTTGGCTTTGTCAAGCAAAAAAACGTCCTGCATGGTGACGGAAATATGCGATATAACCTCGATATGTTATGTAAAAATGAAATTAACACAACATAGCTAACAAACTCCTCATAAAATGGTGGTGCTTCCTCTTAAATTGATAATAAACAGCATCCACCTGCGTCATCATTTTTCCGTGAGTATGTTTCTCTCAGCGGTCCCGTTGCCAGGACGAAATTTCCTGTGCTGGTAAATGATTCATCACGCGCACTGTATGACGCACACGATGCTTTCACATTCACAAACATCAAAATACACGACCATCTTACTACTGGACCAAGTGAGCACTGAAAGCGACATGCGCCATTGTCTTCTCAGATCGTCTGACTGGTACAGTGAGAGTGTTTAGTAAGACAACAGCTGTGTGTTTGGTTGAGAAGGGTCTCTGTGTTAATGAGAGTGTGAGTCTGTCTCAGTGAATCCCAAGCACAGCCGTGCAGATCAAAGCCTGTGATGAAAGTCCACCTTCATGTTCCGTTCCTCGCGTGGTGAGAGGATTCAGAATTCATACATCTACTCAAACATGAGTGAATAAGCTGTCACAAACTATTTTTCAATGACTTGTAACCAGCTGCTCTCACCGTGATCTTTAGCAGATGTGTGAAGTCAGTTCCCCTCAGGTTCACACAGGTGTAGTTCATCACATTAACTATGAACACAATGTGTAACAACCACACAAAGACCAAAATCTTCATTTTGAACAGTGTATCAAATGTTTTAGCATTGAAGATGCCAACCCCTCAGAGGACCTCAGATGATGCCAACCCTGAAACAACATACAGAACTACCACATTTTGCTATAAGTTTGATTGTATCATATAATAATTGCTGTTAATAGTGTTCATCGTCTGTTTGATTACGTCTTTAATTGATTTTTCCGTACATTTCTGCCATATGTACATTGACTGACAGTCACCACTGATAAGCTACCACTAAATATTGTAGAAACATAATTTGCTGTAAAGTTGCTTTGCAATGATTTGTATGGTGAAAAGCGCTATACAAATAAACTTGAATTGAATTGACCTAAAAAAATGTAAAATTGTGCTTGTGCTATTGTTTGGTTTGATATCTTGATATCTACACCAATGACTTTCAAGGCTTAACAAGGCTGCATTTATTTGACCAAAAATACAGTAAAAAAGTAATATTGTGAAATATTGTTACAATTTAAAGTAACCATTTTCCGTTGTAATATATTTATTCCTGTGTTTCATTCTAATAAGCTGATTTGGAGCTGCATTTATTTGACCAAAAATACAGTAAAAAAGTAATATTGTGAAATATTGTTAAAAAATTTTTTTAATATAATTTGTTGAATTTTCAGCAGCCATTACTCCAGTCTTACTTGTTTGAACTAACAAATTAACATTTTTAATCAATTTAATGGATCCTTGATGAATAAATGTATTAATTAATATTATATATAATGCTAAATATATAATATCAATATTGTATAATTAATATTATATATATATATATATATATATATATATCACTGCTGTTATGATTAATATTCTAATATAATATTTAAATATATTAATATACTGTTTAAAAAAAATTTATATAGTACTTATATATACACACACACACACAAACAGACAGTATATTTTATTTGTAAAAAAGTTAGTAGCCTATACATATT